TAAGTGTGCCACTTAAATATTGTCACGTTTCTCCTGCCACTCCCCTTAAACATTTCTGATTTTGTGCAACTCGAGGCTTCTTCTTATTACTTTTGTTCCTTGCCCAAGGAGCTTGCAACTTGGCCATCAATATTTCTCTGTATTCCTCTGCAGACACACAAAAAACCGGTTTGCCGCACCTTAACCCAACCGCCACGTCCCACGCCCCCCTTTCCGCCGCCCTTAAATTGCAATCTTCTTCCGTTTCGTTGACTTTTGCTGCCTCAGACTCTTGGCTTTTGCTTTTATTTGGGCCCTGCTTTTGCTTTTGGTAGCCAGGATAAACGGGAGCGCCGTTTAAAACAGATAACATTCATTGTAACAGTAGCGGAGTCACCCACCCCCCGCCTTAACCCCTTAACACCTTAACCCTCTCTCACCTTCTTGCAATCGTTTCGTTTGATTTTCTGCTCGCAGCCATTTTTTCTTCTCTTTGTCTATCTGTGTGAGTCATAAGAAAATTATGTTGCATTTTATGGGCCAGGAGCAGGAGCATTTGCAGTTTTTATCGACTCTGCTTTTGGCCAAAAGGATTCTGCAAGTTGGCAAGGATCTAAGGAAAGGCCAAGTATTCTAGTACAGAGAACGAAAACCTCTGATTCTTGGTTGTCCCATACTTTATGTAAGCCAAGACTTTATCGGTACTTTTGGCCAGTGTAGGGATTCTCTAGACCGGCCAACATTTGGCTTAAGCATAGAGACATTAAAGACCATTCGGGGGGAGAGGCCGAGGGGCAGAGGAAGTAGAAGGCGTTGAGATTGCGACTTTGGTGCAGTGCCAGGACAACAACCAACAACCCGATTGCCAGCTTTGGAGTCCTGCTCTCGGTCCTGGCTCTGTGATTTGCCATTGTTCTTCGCCTCGTCCACAGGCTGCAGGCAAAATAATAAGACATAATTCCTAAGCTTCTGTTGGTCCTGGTCCTGGTCCTTCATCCTTCGGCATCTCCTTGCTGTGTCCACATTATGCATAACTTTGCAGACCCATCCCCCCTCTCTTTCTCTGTCTTTCTCTCTCTCTCTGTATATTTATCCCTGTGGTTGCAATCAGGGTATTACAAACTTTTGAGATACTCAGTCGATGGGTTAGGTTTAAAGAGAGATGGAAAATTATAAATAAGTTTATATAGAAAAGGATTCAAACTGCATTTTCACATTTGATTACTCATTCAATTCCGACGATTTTATTATCAAAAGTATATCAAATGTCGCCAGAAAAACCCAACCTAATATTTTGATATTATTTCGCCTTTGTGTATCTAATTTCCAACTATAACATAGCCCGACAAGATGGCAAAATGTTTCACCAACTTTTGTTTCCAATTAAAATCAAAAATCTATGCCAACTTACATTGTAATCACGTGAGTGAAAGAGATGGCCAGCGGAGCTAGGGAAAGGCACGGGCGGTGTGTAGGTATTTCTTACATTTTATGGCTAAATTCAATGCTGGTAATTAACTCTGAAAATCCAATTATGGCAAACTTTTCCCAAAGTCTTCGTAGCTCTATACAACATATCGCCGTCCCTCTCGCTTGCCATGCTGCCGTCTCTTTCTTCTGTGTGTTTTGACATGTGAGGCAAGGTGTCTGTGAAAGTGCGAAGTTGACTGGCTGTGACTGTGTGGGTGCACTCATAAGTGATATGCAGAACATGCAATTAACAAGGGCAAAATTCACTACCGTAGAATTGGTCTTGTGCTCTGGTTATACACTGAAAGAAACTCACATTTGACCATTTTAAAAGGTACTAACTTAAAGGTTAGAGAATGATGAAGGATAATCTTTGGTTTTCCCCTGCGATTGATAACAAAAGCAACCTCTGAAAACCAAACTCCATTCTTTTCGGTGTACTTTCTTAGTTATATGTTATACGTTCTCTGACTTCTCGAGTTTCCCCAAAGGCAGCCACAAAAGAGCTCACAGCTTGGGGTTTCCCACCTCCCGCCCCTTTCGGAGGCCCCTTTGCCTCGTCATTGTTTCCATTTTAATATAATTCCCACGTCATAATTGCGTATTGTAGCTGCAGCAACCGAGGCTCCACTGTACCAAGAGGTGTTGGCCTGAGAATTCTCGGCCCGAAGAGACAACAATGCCCATTGCAAGGGCCGTTGACCAAATGTTCTAGAAAATTTTCCAGCTCTTGCCATTGAGGCGGAATCGAATTGCTTCCTTTGAATTGGACTGCAGAAATTCTCGGAAAATATTCAGCTCAGCAGAAAATTCAGGAAAATACAAATTAACTAGATGATGCGAAAAGCTGTTGTGTTAAATAATTTTCTACGCCAATTATTTTCCAGCAAACAAGAATCTTGTATGGGTGAGTTTTGCAAGGTTGCACAAGATAAGGACCATCTAGGCTCGAAAAACTGAATTGTGAAATTTCATATTCCTTTACCTAACTTTAACTTTAAATTACTTTACAGTTTCTTTAAACAAATAAAAACGTAGAAAGGCAATCTGAATTAATATCTCTTTGCTGATGAACCTCTAAAACTAGATTCTCTAGCTCTTTGAGCCAAGATATATCCGCAATCTGCGAGTTAATGTGTAAATGCTCATAAAAAACATAAAGTATATAAATGAAAACTCGGCTGCTTCCGTAGCCTCTGTCCTTTTGGCTCCATTAGCTCTTAGTTGGTATGGAAAAGTGAAGTCTTGACCCTGTCCTGGGCGGAAATTGAATTTTTAGCCTTTCGCTGGGCTGCCTTTGCACTCGTCGCTCCTTTTGCATATTATTTTTAATTTCCAGCAATTATAAGAAATTTTTCTTCCAGCTTTTCCTGTGCTCTCCATTTTCGTGTGCCTTCTTTAACGATAATTTAATTAGTTGCAAGTTGCCGCCGTCGGTTGGCCGTTGCCTTTTCGCCGTCTTTGCATTCGCCCCATTAATTGCACTTAACATTTCGTGAATTCTTAATGTCCAACAATAAAACAGGCGAAATCGAAAATATAAGGAAGCGTTGACGTTTCTTCTTTAAGCGTTTCGATTAATCAGCCATGGACAGGATCGAAAGGCGACGCTTTGTTTTTAATTAATTTTATCCAAGAGTTGGCTTCGATTACTCTTGAGGAAGCTATATATATGTATTTAAGATTTCGATTGTTGAATTCCAGTAAATGTTTCTTTTTTAGTTAGAATGTTTTTGGTACAGTTTGGCAAGTTTGTTTATGTCCGGCAAAAAAGGGGTTTCAGTGTTCATCATGAAGTACTTCTAGGTCAATGCTGGTCATTTCTTCCTTTTAATTTTCGCTATGGTTGGCGAGCAGGAAAAACTGAGACGGAGTATCAAAATGAGAAGATAACTCTTTCGGCCAAGTCTTCATCAGATAGGGTTAAAATACGTTGTTGTCATGGCTAACCATCTACCATATAAAATTCATCTAAGTACTTCACTCAAACCGATTGTATAGTTAAGAACATTTCTTAAGAAAATTCGCATTTCACATCTACTTAAATGTTGACCCAAGGTATTCAGAGGGATAATTCAGTGGAACAGGACAACATCTGGCAATTTGCCTAAGTGCAGCGAGCTGAACTTCTTCGTCCCTTTCACAATCTCTTTCTCTCATTCTCTCTCTGTCTATCTAAAGTTTTTAATTAGAAACGCATCCTGCGAAAATGGACAGCGCTAGCACTCTCTCTCTCTCTTTCGTACCCCTGATTTTCCAGGGCTGCTCCCCAGCCCTGTCACCGGGTTTCCTCCCGTTAAGCAGTCAAGTGAAATGAGCAAAGAAATGCGTTGACAACCAGGCCAAAAGCTCCACAAAAGTAACTTTAATGGCAGACAGAGACGGCCAGAATAAATGAATGAAATGGGCACAGCGCCCAGGACTTGGAAAAATAACAAGAAACGAAACTTTTGACATAAATTCCCGGCCCAAAAAGATAGAAAACTCGGGCGCAAAATGAGAAGTGAAGGCTTTTGGCCGCCAGAGTTGCCACCTTGACGTGTGATGCTATTATCCATCGGATTAGATACGGATATTTAGGGCCTTTAGCCGAGTGCCAAATTAATTTTAATGCGATTTTCATGGGCTGCATAACTTTGGGATTTTAACGACTATTGGCCCTAATGCAAATGCCGGGAAACAGACCGAAACAATCTTTAAATTTAGCACAGACTAAAAACAGTCTGGAGCTGCAGCTCAAATACACAAATTTATTGCCTCTCAAACACTCTTTTTGCGCACTTTTTTTTTCTTTTGGAGTGGCTTAAACGCCGACTCATGCATATTTGATGCCAAATATAAAGCGGCTATAAATTCCACTCGAAATTTACGCACCAAAGTAAGAGTAATGCGCCAAGAGTCCGCCCGAAAAGAAAGGAAAGGAAAAGTGGGCGACGAAGCGAGTCCTTGGGATACGCATGTGTTCAAGGTGCGCTTAAAGGTAGGACATGTATCTCGAACTTTGTCGTCTAAGCATATGAAAAAGTTACTCGAAATTATTTTCATTCTTTTCATCCGAGTTTGCCTTTTTATTTCCCTCTTTTCCGTTCTGTTGACAAGTTTCGAGTTGAGCTGTTGAGGTATAATGCATTATTAAGAATTAAACAAAAATTGTTCTTGTTGTCCTTTGTTTTTCTTACGGGCTCCTTTATTTTAAACCGATTTTCGCTTTTGTTTCGGGGAAGAAAGAGCAACGGCTGATGAAAATTTCATGAACACTGAAAAGGTTCTTATGTCGTCGGTTTTCGGGGCTTGGCCTGGGATGTGAGTGAAAAGTTATGATTCTTTTCGGTTTAAGCCTTATGAAAATGTTATAAATTTGGTTTGTGTGGTGGTCAAGAATTTCAATTATTTATGGGAGTGGAAACACAATTATTTTTGGGGTCACCATCAAAAGTTGTCAGCTTGCGTAGGGGTAGCCAGATTATTACTTTAGAATATTCTTTTAAGTTGCCTTCGGATTATGTATAACCCCCATACTAAATACTTTATGTTCCCTAATATCTTTACAGCTCTCGTAGCGCTGAGCTCCATGATTCTAGCCGATGAATCGATTGACACACGCGAAAACGCCGACTTAACCCTCAAGTGCCGGTTTAACGACAAGTACGAGGCGGACGACTTCTCGTTTTTCTGGACCCGCTGGACAGCGAATCCCGCTCAATTTGATAACGTGGCCATCGGCGACGTGCAGTTGAGTTCCGGCTATAGGTGAGTAATCGATTTAACTATCGATAAATATTAATATTTTTAGATATTTAATTTAGTTCCTTAATTTAAGTTTAAAGTGAAACAAAAGTACTTAAATTCCGGCTAAGGTTTAACCACTATCGATTCCCTCTATCGATGTTTTCGCTAGTCCAGTGAGTAATGGACATCGAAATGCGACCTAGCAACGAGGATGATAATTGCGGGAATGGCTGGCTTTGAGGGATGTTAAATGCTGTCCATAAAGCTGATGTCCTTAATGGCTATATGGGCAGATATATATGTCTGTGTGTGTGTGTGCGGGGTCGTAAAGTGAAACACGGAGGGGAATCCCCGCAGCCATCGTCCTTCTGCGGCATTAACGGTTATCCTTCCGCCGACCGAGAAGTACAGTTTATCCCGGCAGCAGCAGTTGGCAGCCATTTGTTAAGTTAATTAAATGTTTCACACCACCCTTCCGCCCGCCCGACCTGGATAATGCGATTTATGCATGTGACTGACTGGGCTAGCAACTTAATTAAAATCAAGTTCTTGGCAATTTAAACAAATGCCAGGCGAATGGAACCGTTGAGTCCGAGCTTGGTCGCAGTCCGATATTCCCTTAAAGGGGTTTATGCATATGAAAAAGCCGTTATGAATATTCATATACGACATTAACTATCTGTCAGGAAAGACCATTACTATTTAAAGAGTTGTCTTATTAAACATTTCCTTGCGATTAATCGCTGGCCGTGAGTCCATCGCTATGGCCCGTGTCCTGGCGTAATCCTTAATGTCAACGCCGCGTGTTGCATGTTGAGGCATGCATACTCGCACACACACATGGCCTTCCGCCTATTGGTGTTTGTGTTTATGTTTCATTTTCATGACCCCCCTCCTTCCCCAGATTTCAATTGTATTTTTATTTGCCTGGTGCCTGCGACTTCCGTTTCCTGTTGGCCGCCTGCTTTTTAATGTTCGGTTTGGTTTCTTTATGTGGCAACGCATAAATTTTAAGTGCCAACTGTGCCGCACGGAGCTCCATCTTCTTCTTCTCCGTCGGCTTCCTCTTCTTCCGCGGAAAGTGCAACCCTCCGTCCGTTTCATTCCGTGTCGTTGCGCTTCCGTTTCATTCCGTTCCGTTTCAATCCGCTCCCTGGTTGCCAAATAAAATGGCCACAAGCCAGCACGGCTATAAGGCCATATACATTTTATGGATGCACTGGGGAAAATGCTTTGATTAATACTTAAAAGTCGGACAAGCTCGGCCCGGATCTTAAATTAGTTGTGGTTTTAAGCAGTCTTTAAGTTTGTCAACTGAAGTATTTAAAGAATCTTAAAGCTAGACTAGTTTTTTTTAAACTTGAAAAACTTTTATTTTCCCTGTACAAAAGAGCAAGAGCGTGGGCATAATAAAAGCAAATCAGCAAATAGGAAAGCAGCGTAAAGAGGCGTTGAGGGGCCGCAGAAATCGCGCTGCGGGCCCAGGCAAATTGTAAAATATATTTTTACTGCAATTTGTGCCGAAAGCTAACAAGGAGCCCGAAACAAGCAGCCAACAAGGACAAATAAGAGGACGTGGAACAGAAGCCAGGACACGAGAACACGGCTCAAGGAAACCGAAGCGAAACTGGCCACATAATGAAGGCGAAGATAGTACCCAAACCGAAGCCCCCTGGAAAATTCCTATCTGTGCAAAAGTGAAATTACTGCAAATTTGCTGGCAATGCCAAACAACACACAGAAAACAAATACAACAAAAAAACAGAAAATCGCAAAGGAAAATTACAGAATTTTTCTCTGGGCCAAAATGTCGCGACAGGTCGAAGGAGAAAAAGAGAAGCTCAGGGCTAATATTTCGCCAAACATTTAATTTAACGAGACATCAGGGGAATGCTGTTCTCACAGAGATTGAGAAACAATGAGTGCGGCATTTAGAAGTGGGGAAAGTCGAAAGGAAAGCGATTCCCTCGAATGCGAAATTCACTTGTGGAGGACTTTCGGCGAGGGGACAAACACGACAGCATTCTTGAGAGGAAAATCTGCTGGAAAATCAGTGGGGGTATCTGAAATCTGAACAAATGGTTGGGCATAAACATGATTCCTAAATATGTTTTCGCTTTCATAAATCAATTTTCAAATGGGATGTGCAATCTTTGATTTAAAGTGTCATTCAACTTTTCTCTCTATTATATTTTGTAATCAAATCTTAAATAGTCTTAGTTTTAATCTTAAATCTTTATTCCATAGCCCGAAGAAAGCTTCCTTCCTGGCGAATAATTGGCGGCCCTTTAAGGTTACCCCCTGTCCTGTCATAATAATAATAAAAAATAAAAACTTTCTGCCTTTGCCCGGAGGGAGCGACAAAAAGTAAAAAATTGCGAATCGAGGCCAGCCCTGTAGTAGCAACAACAAATCACGAGTTGCAATGCAGGAGGAGGATTTTCCGAAGGTGGGGAGTCGGGGTGATATAAATAAAACCAGCTGGGGATAAACTTGAAAATTGCAACAAGAAGAAGGCAGCCGGGGGCCTTTTGCCTATCCCCCTGGAGTCCTTTTCGGCAGCGCTCAAGGACACGCGTCCCTTTCGCCAGTTTCCTTGCTCGTTTAAAGCGCTTTTCATTTGTCGATAGGAGGTGGAAATCAAGGGGATTCCCCAGAGTGGCGGCAATGACGATGACGATGACTGCGCTTTGCCAGCAGTTTTTATAATTTGCACTTTTTTATTTCGACCGAGCACGTGTCCTGAGGATTCTCTCTATCCCAGCTGCAAATGAGCAAGTCGCCAGAGACTCGGCCCCAAAAAGATACCAGAAGGGCGGGAGTGGCGCAAGTAGGGAAAGGCAGGGCAGCAGCTGCAAATAGAAAAATACTCGTAGTAATAAAAAAAACCACCTAGACAAGGACACTCGGTTTTGGGGTGGAAGAAGGAGATGAGCGGGCCAGTCTGTGGAGAATTTAGTAAATTTGCTGTCTTCTGCAGAGGCAAAAATTAGGACACATGTACTTAAAATTAGTCGTTGTAAAGACGTTAGATTTGCCACTAATAATGTTGGATACGGTATTGATTATAACCATAAAAGGTATTGCAAAAATATTGTACTTAAATTCCAGCTGGTTTACTATTTATTATTAACAGAAAACCTACTGACATGTCCTAAATTTTGTTTAAGTACACTTCATTTTATTCACTCCTTTGGATTCTCTTAGCAAGTTACTTTTCCTTTTCCCTTGGATTTTCCCCTGCATTTTTTGGCTTGTCTGCGCATTCTGTTTAGGGATTTCAAGAGCAAGGGACCGAGGCAGCTTCAGTATTTTTTTTCGTCCAGCTGCGGTTTGCTGCTGGGAAAATTAAATTTTCACACAGACGCGTGTTTTATTTTCCCTTTTCTGGTGGTGCCACTGCGGTTTTTGGCAGCAATTAGAACACGAGTAAAACTGGTGTGTAAATAAAGCGAACTTTTGAGCAGCTAATCAGTCTTAGCCCTAAGTCGGTCCAATTAGAATCGCAAAACCGTCTAGACAATAAGTGGACATCGCTGAAATCTCTCTAAAATATCTCAGAACATCAGAAGGAAAATTGCCACCCAGGCCGGGCCAGGGGGAAATCCTCGAGATGAGAACCAATTTCTGTGTCAGTCAAAAGTCCACTTGCAGCTTGACAAATGAACTCGGAGAAGACTTGGGAAATGGAAAATGAAAATCGTATCTGTAAGACTTAGGAGCATCTTGTTTGCCAATCTAATAAACTGCTGGCTGACCAGCGTGGAAAAGCCAAGAATCCAGCGAAGCGCATTCGGGCGGCATCAATTTTCAGTAGTTGTCCAGGACAACGATGAGGATGAGGACGAGGATGAGGATGACGACCAAATAATCATCGGCATCATCATCCTATTGAAAAATTGTGAAAAATCGCAGGACAAGAAAAAGTTAAAAGAGGACACTGAAGTGGCCTTGAAATATTAAGACATTGATGGAACGGAGGTTGGGAAAGTGTGCAGGAGGGGGAGGGAAAATGAATGTCTGACAGAAGCCAAAAACAGAAAATTGACTAGCTTGTCCCTGTCCTTTCGCTTTTTGTTTAGTTAGATGAAAGAGGAGCAACTTTCCGATAAATTCAATATGCAGCTGGACACGTGATTGGGCTTTAAGCTGGCCTTTAAGCTGCGGAAAACTAACAGAATTTAGTCAAAAGCTTCTGATAGAAGTAATCACTTTAAAAATTTAATTAAATACGAAGCTTTCGAGCTCATAAAATAGCATTTAGAAGGATAAATGGTACCATAAATGGTCGAAAGTTTTCTTCTCAGCTGAAAATACATCAAAGTTGTCACATGCGAATTATGGCAAAGCAAATTTAATTTACTGCCTCTCTTGATTGGGCAAACATAGTTCGTGTTTTATTTATTTGGAGAAGAAGGAATATGCCGAGAAAAGTTTGATTTGGAAACGAATTTAAAGTTATCTTCGATTTTCCAATTATACATTTTCTTGCAATTAATTTGGTTTACGGGGCTGCAAAGCAATTACGCCTGGAGAACCCCTCAGTGCCTAATAGTCCGGCACATAACAATAACAATAAGGTAAACATCAGGATCAGGGAAATTCCGAAGGCTGTGCGAAAATTACTTCACTTTTTTCTGTTTACCTTTCACTTGGACTGGCGGCGTCTGAGACCCGGGTTCTTATTGGAAATTGTCTAGGAAAAATATGCAAACATTTATTCGAACGTTGATTTTATTTATGTTGGCCCCCTCTCTTCTCTCTCCACTCTCCACTCTCCCAGGACAGTCCTCGTCCTGCCATCTCCTTCGTCAAATATTACCATTTCGTATTTATTTATATTACGAGCGTTTAAAGTTTGGCCACCTGCGGGCGGAAAACAGGAAGCGAATCAAGGACAAGAGTGGGAAAATCCAATATTAGCACAATTAGTGATGGCCACTGAGGCGGGCAGGGCGGTGGTGGAGCAGAGAAGTCCCCTGCAAGTTTTCAAATAAAAATAAATTGATTTCCAGGCAAATGGAAATTGATTGACTGGATTTTGACATTTAAGCTTTGAAGTTTGCTTCTGGTTTGGCTTTGCCGAAATCTTGGTTAAATGTATATTTTTATAGGCTTAAAGACTGGAGGATTTTCTTTAATTTGCTTTTCCAATTTTCTAATTTCAGACTCGACTTTCAACCGGAGCGCGGCATTTACGATCTGCAGATCAAGAATGTGTCCTACAACCGGGACAACGGCCGCTTCGAGTGCCGGATCAAGGCCAAGGGAACGGGCGCAGACGTCCATCAGGAGTTCCACAATCTCACAGTCCTCACACCACCCCACCCTCCCGTGATCTCGCCCGGCAACATAGCCGTGGCCACCGAGGACAAGCCCATGGAGCTCACATGCAGCAGCATTGGCGGCTCTCCCGATCCCACCATAACGTAAGATATATCCTTTCTTTATTTCTTGATATTTAAGTTATCCTAATTTCCTAATTGTTATGTAGTTGGTATCGCGAGGGCTCCAACTCTCCCCTGCCAGCCACTGTTCTGAAGGGCGGCACCAAGGACCAGCCCACCAATGCCACTCTGTCCATCATTCCTCGGAGGGAAGATGATGGTGCCAAGTACAAGTGCGTAGTCAGAAATCGTGCCATGAACGAGGGAAAACGATTGGAGGCGACGGCCACTTTGAATGTCAACTGTAAGTAGAAATGTTTTAATATGTTAATTAAGATATTATGGCATAATCAGGATGTGTAAATCCCACTTCTATACTCGGAATCTATAGTTCTTTAATCAGAAGAACCAAGAAAATCCATTCAAAGACCCATTGACAGCGCTGAGTAATGCTTTCGGTTGAGAGTTCCAGTGAGGGAACTGCTGAAAGAGATGATCCGCCCACTTCTATCCCCCTGATAGTCTTTGCCATTACTCACACCCAGTCCTCTTGAGCATCATTAATAATTTCCACATTCTGACATGGAGAATAATTCCCATAGACGGCGGCCATTGACCATTGTTAATTAGAAACTTCGGATGGTGTTTTTCGTATCAAGCGATTCCAGGCGGAGTCATCCATCCGGCAAGGCGACCTTCTCTTAATTTGCATGCCACGCGGCAATTACAACACCATCTGAGTATCAGAACATTAGCATAATGAAGGAAGGAGACAATGAACAGCCAGTCCTCGACGTTTAACCCCGTGTCTGTCGCATTTCCCCTCCGAATGCACATGACACATTTCGTTTAAAGTATTTAGATGCAACCGGCCACCAGCAAGCAGGCACACCACAAACACACCAGCAAATAGCAACTAACAACTAGCGACAATCGCATAATCGCATATATCTTTTTTAAAAAGCCAACAAAGCCAGGCCCATAAATTTCAAATGCTGACCTGACCGGCGACCTGCTGCTGACTGAACGCAAGTAATTAGAATACAAATTTATGTGCCACTCGTCGCAGTTGTTGTTTAATTGTTGTTGTTAGTGTAGTGTTGTTGTTGTTGTTGTTGCAACAAGTGGCGGTGTATTAGTGGATGTGCGGCTGTGTGTGTGCGTGTGACCTGCTAGCTGTTAACGCTGGCTATTAGGGCTAATCAAAAGGCAAATAAAGTGAAATATTGCCCCGGCCGCCATGGCGAGGCAATCGAGAGCTTGTGCCTACACCTATGCACTGAGCGAAAGAAGGGTAACTATACTAAGAAAGTGTTAAGTATTAAGATCACTAAAGGTTGGTAAATGCATACGAAGGTGTGATCTGGTATAGCAAACCTTCTGAAGTTTTGATTTCAAAAAGTAAAAATTCCTCCTAGTTTTCTCCTGTGTACCTTTGGTTTTATAGCCCTGCTATTACCTATGGCCATGGTGGCTATCAACTGTGTAATTAATTCAAAAACAACACACACACATGCAGAGGTGGCAGTAATGGCCATAGAATCAGCGTTGGTGTTAGGGTTCGTATTAGTCTTAGTATTAGTATTAGTAGAAGAAGAAGGGCCGAATAGGAGTGGGCAGAAGACTATGCTAATTGCAGAGAATGGGAGAACTGCGGAAAGTAGAAGCAGCAATAGATTCTAAAGGAAAATAGAGGAACTAATAATGACTTTAAAGATTGAAAGAAGATATCTTAAAGATACTCATCTTGTCTCTCGCTTAACCTGCGTCTTACCTCGACTTAAAGCTTAACCTTTCGAGAACATTTAATTTGCGTTATTAGGAATTTCCACTTTGTAAAACCGCATTCCAAATAGATCTGAGCAGACCACTGCGCATATTTTCCCCACCACAGAGAGCCAATAATTGTGTATTGTAAACAACAACGGTGGCTGGAAATGCATTAAAGCCAACCGCCAACGTCGTCACACATGTCGTATGAGTAATGCCCACCTGAGTTAGGCCAAGCAAAACACCAACGCATCGTGATGTAAATATAAATATAAATATGCCTGTGTATGTGTGGACTATATATTGACGCAACGCTAATTAACCGCCTCTTCAATCGACCACGCCCACTTAAAATAGATTGCAGCTAATCGAGGTGGACTTAAAAAACTAAAAAATAGATACACATGTACTGCGTCATAAGAGTGTTGGGATGTGAGTGAAATATATAGGTCGCTTGCGGTTTAATTAGTCGGGCTCAGGGCCACGCCCACAGCCGCCCACATTTGCATAAGCCACATGAAACAAATGGGCATAGATATAGGCATCAGATTCATTATGTTTATCTAAAATGTTTAGTCAGTCGGCAGAAGCGAAAAGGTTTAATTACGAAAATATTAGGAAAAGTCTGCGGAAACCGCAGAGTAAATTTCGAGGGATTTGCAATTGTAAATTGTAAATGTTTATTAATTGCCAGCATTTAGATTTATTTCATTCGTTGGGGAAGTTGGAAAAGTTGGAAAAGTTTTTAAACACATTAAGGACCGAGAGGAACCGCAGTAATTGCAGGAAAAATAAAGAATGAAAAAGGTTAGCAGGCAGAACAAACAAATCGAGAACGAAAAGGATATGTGAACTCTGATTGTGGCGAAGGATTTTCCACTTGCGGTCACCTCCGGTTTTCACTGGGGTTTCCTTTGCCATTTCACCCCACTTCCCCTCCAGTAATGCGTTTTTAAGCAAGCCGAACCCGGCTTGGAGTATATCAAACAGGGAAATGATGTCCTGTCTGTGTCCTGTCCTCCTTTCCTTTCTACCAGCCTTCGGGCATTTTGCGGTTGCTGCGGGACTGAAATCCTAAGGAAGATGTATCCTGGAAAAAGAGGGGACTTAGGATGCTGAAAGTAGGGGGTGTACTGGGAAAAAGTATCACCCAAATTGGTCAGCAGTTTTTTATTTTATCACAAGCTTTGTGTTAGGAGAATGTATCTAAAAGAGGACTTAGCATTTTCAGAGCTACCTTAACAAGTATATTATTCTCCCTGTGCACGAAACTTAACCCCTAACAGACAGTCGGGACTTGGACCCTCACTGGCTTTGTTTGTTTAGCCAACAGTTTGAGCTCTAAAATTAAATCAAAAGCAATTTAATTGAAATCAACAGAGGAGGAGGTCGAGAGTGGCTGTTATCCTTTTTCGCTGTGATTTACGCTGGGCAATAAAATTTCACTTTTCCCGGGCTTTGGCTCTCTGTCTGTGGCCCATTGACACCTACAAATTAATCAGAAAATGAGCCACGTTCTTGGCCTAATCTCCGGTAATAACTCATTGCCAAATGGCCGGACATAAATCGCAGGGAAAAGCAGTGGAAATTGTCGCGCTAATAACCGCAAAATGACAAAATTGCCACGAAAAATCAACGATGGCAATAATTTCAAATTTCAGAAGGCTCCGAGATAAGATGTAGGGCCAAGAGTCAAGTCTAATCTGGCCTGGCTTTAATGTATTGCCTCTGGCCCGAAGGGTCTCTCCTTTCCTTGCCTTGCCTTTGCCTTTTCCTTTCTATTTCTGATGATGAAGCCAATCGGATCTGAAGAGCTACCAAATTGTGGGACGGTGGACCCCATTTTCCACCTGGGAAAAGTAGGCAAGCAACAGACAGCTGCTTTGCAGGGATATATGGGGACGGGGCTTTTGTTTTTGATTCTAAGCTGACAAGGCAGGGGGCAAATCTTCCACGGGCTTTATATTCTATTTTTTTTTGTGCTGTCAAATCTTTGTCCCCAACTTGAAAACCGCTTAAGTTTGTTGGCGGCTTAGCGCCTGCTAAAAAAAATACCGAAATGCGGAAACTGGGAGGAATTTTTAGAGAATTTTCACAGAATGAGGCAAATGGGTTAGAAAAAGCAAGCCTATTAGAGCTGCAGACCCCATCAAAGATTTTTGTAAACAAAAACTTAAATAGTAACGTTACATAAAGTAGCTACACTTTTCCCAGCTGTTAAAGTTCGTAAAGCGCTTAAAGTGAGTTGAGTCGCCTCGATGGCGATTCTTTTTAAAAATCATAATTAAGAGGTACTTGCTGCAAGCCTTGCAACATCGGAAACTCAATTTTCCCAACTCCTTTCCCAGGGGTCCATCATTTTCCATAGTTTAATGTCAGGCAATTAACTTTTGTCTGGCCCTCCGAGAAGAGCATAAAATGAGAGCATTACAATGAGCAGTGGGAAAAGTGGGAAAAGTGGGAAAATGGGAAAAGTAGGAAAAACGTAGTCCGAAGAGGGGTAGGCCTGTCACATGACCTGCCAGTCAGCGATGAGATCATGCATAAAAAAGCCAAAGGAAAAGCCGGGAGGAGAACCGAACCGAACCAAGACCAAAGCGAACCGAACCGAAGCACGTCCTCAGATGGAAATGGAAATGTTAAATGTAAATGCGGCATATGGAAAAACGGGAAACGACCTTGCTCTGTGTTTGGGCCTTAACACCCCCAGTGAGTGGGCCATGGGCCATGGGTGGAAAGTGGTGGGGAAATCAGTGGGCAGAAGCGGGAGCAAATTGGTAGATTGTCACAGGCAAATAGGCGGGACAACATGAAAATCAACCAAGCAAATGCCAATACACATGCAACGCCGGAAAGAAGCTGCCACGCACTGTGAGAAATATTTATGGACTTCAAGGGAGCTAATTCCGTATTTTAAGTTAAAGTTAAGGCAGTTTAAGGCATTTTGTATATAAAAGAACACGTTCCACAAAGGTAACTTAAATATTGATTTGAAACATTTCTCTCAAGTGAAAGTAGTTCCAACTTGACTTTTGAAAGATCTTTTGTTTGCGTGTAAAAATAGGAATGGTCGACTATGTTGCGGCTGTGGTATTCAAGGATTCGAGGCTTAACATGGCGTAAACACAAAAGCCTCTAAAGGCATCAACTGCGGCATATAAAGTGGCATTACATTAGAGTACGAACCGGAAAAAAAGACCGAAAAAAAACATACATACAGAAAATAAACGCAAACATGTCCTTTGGCAGGAAGTGCCGCAAAGACAAAAAGAGATTGTCGAGTGGCATCGTCGACGCATTAAATTGAAGATGATGATGATAATGCGCCAGATAAGTCTGGAGTCTGGAGAGTCTGAGGTCTGGGGTCCATGGGGTCATAGGTAACAGCCAACTTAACGTCAATAAACGGGAGTTGAGGGGCGGAAAGGTCGCTCTTCGGTCCGCAACAAGCCATGAAAAGAAGGAAAACTGGGAAAAAGAGCCACAGGATAACATCTGCCATTTGCGGCCAGGACGAAAGATGAAACAATGCGG